TGTCAGGGGGGGGGGGGAGTGGCGAAGTTTTCGTGACGCAATATTGCCGTGTTTCAAATATTTATGAGTTTATCATGGATTATACGTTAAGGAACTATCCTGGATATGTAACTGAAACATTTTGGATACATATTGTTGATGAACTGTTCTGATTAATGCTGCTAAGCTTGAAAATATTTATTAAATATATTGGGTTGTATGTTACGGAATTGTAATTGTATGTAACGGATCTATCCTGAATTGTATGTAATGGAACTATTCTAGATTGTATGTAATGGAACTATTCTAGATTGTATGTAATGGAACTATTCTAGATTGTATGTAATGGAACTATTCTAGATTGTATGTAATGGAACTATTCTAGATTGTATGTAATGGAACTATTCTAGATTGTATGTAATGGAACTATTCTAGATTGTATGTAATGGAACTATTCTAGATTGTATGTAATGGAACTATTCTAGATTGTATGTAATGGACTATTCTAGATTGTATGTAATGGAACTATTCTAGATTGTATGTAATGGAACTATTCTAGATTGTATGTAATGGAACTATTCTAGATTGTATGTAATGGAACTATTCTAGATTGTATGTAATGGAACTATTCTAGATTGTATGTATTGGATCTATTCTAGATTGTATGTAATGGATCTATCCTGGAAAATATGTTAATGAACTTGTTTGATTAAAATATTGCTGAGTCATCCAACTTGACTTGTCTATTTAATATTAAAATGCTTTAAAACGACCGTATTTTAGTGCAATTCTTAAAGTACAGTAATCAAAAACTGTATTTGTTATCAACAAGTATTGCAGTATCTATTAATGAATTATTTTTATCTAATAAATTTAAAAACTACTTTGGCCGAAATTATATTTAACTATTGTTATTTAAAGAATTGCCTTAAGTAACGTAATTTTTTTTATAATAAAACATCCCTAGTCTATTCATGAACTATAGTAGTTTATAAAATTTTAAAAACTATTATGGCCGAAATGATATCGAAATATTGTAATGTAAAACTGCTCTGTATTCTAGCCTTATAGCAGCGTAAAAAAAAAAAAAAAACTTAAAAATTTCACGTCTCCTAGGTTAGAATTTTCCGGTGTCTTTAACTTCCTATTTGAAGCACACGCCCACACTCTTCAGATAAGGAAACATTTTACTTTCCTAACCAGTGTCAAGGACGAAGTTGAGTGCTGGGCTGTGTGTGGCACTGCATTATCCTTAAGTACGCCTCAATGGGTGCCAAGGACATGCCTGCAAATAATAGCTTTACATACGGCTTGATCAGGAGAATTTGTTGTTCTGTTTTTCTCGTAGTCCTGTCTGTGTGTTTATTGTTTGGATTGTTTATGGTCAGGTCTTAGGTTAGGGGTAGGGGAGGTTGTATGATGATGGTAAGGTTTTAGGTTAAGGGTAGGGGAGGTTGTATGTTGATGGTTGCATGTGCATGTGCAGGTGCAGGTACAGGTGCAGGTGCAGGTACAGTTACATACTCATATGAACACGCATATTCCTCAAATATCAGTCGACTAAAAACGACGCAACAACTTTCAGACGAAATATGAAAGTCGGGCTATTGGTTCCCTAGGCAACGGCCCCTTTCTTCTCTCCTCTTCCCCCCCCCCCCCCTTTTTTTTTTACCATCTACCAATATAAAAAAAAGTCTAATATAGTGATATGAAGTTTTCGAGAAAAAAGTGTGAGAAAGATGAGAAGAAATGTATTTTAATATATCCCTGGTGACATGTATGTGATCTAGATCTCGTCTAACTATGTCGGGGGCTGTTGTGTGAGATTCTCCAGGGTGTAAAGCGGCGCCTCTTCTCTATTCGATGGAACTAGAGAACTAGGTCATGGGTAAGAACGGCGCCTCTTTTCTATTGGATGGAACTAGGGAACTAGGGCATGGGTAAGAATGGCGCCTCTTTTCTATTGGATGGAATTTGGGAACTAGGTCATGGGTAATAATGGCGCCTCTTTTCTATTGGATGGAACTTGGGAACTAGGTCATGGGTAAGAAGGGCGCCTCTTTTCTATTGGGTGGAACTAGGGAACTAGGGCATGGGTAAGAATGGCGCCTCTTTTCTATTGGGTGGAACTAGGGAACTAGGGCATGGGTAAGAACGGCGCCTCTTTTCTATTGGATGGAACTAGGGAACTAGGGCATGGGTAAGAATGGCGCCTCTTTTCTATTGGATGGAACTAGGGAACTAGGTCATGGGTAAGAATGGCGCCTCTTGATGGAACTTGGGAACTAGGTCATGGGTAAGAACGGCGCCTCTTTTCTATTGGATGGAACTAGGGAACTAGGGCATGGGTAAGAATGGCGCCTCTTTTCTATTGGATGGAACTAGGGAACTAGGGCATGGGTAAGAACGGCGCCTCTTTTCTATTGGATGGAACTAGGGAACTAGGGCATGGGTAAGAATGGCGCCTCTTTTCTATTGGATGGAACTAGGGAACTAGGGCATGGGTAAGAATGGCGCCTCTTGATGGAACTTGGGAACTAGGTCATGGGTAAGAACGGCGCCTCTTTTCTATTGGATGGAACTAGGGAACTAGGTCATGGGTAAGAATGGCACCTCTTTTCTATTTGATGGAGCTGCTACCCCATCTTCACACATAGCCACACAACGTAACACCCCCCCATACACACCGACCCACCATCACTGACACACGGGGACACGCCCTACTACTAAAACTAAGTCACGTTTAATTCAGTCCACCACTCATTACAAAATCGCCCTTTCATTCTATTTTTAAAAAGGCGTTAACTTACTGGGCTATTGAGCTGGGTAAATAAAACAAATGTGTTTTATTTATTTTTATTATAATTTACAGAACAAAAAATAAATAAAAAAATTTCATACTACAGAATATTTCAAAATTTCGGTTTTCACTATATATAGCGCAAAAAAATGTGAGGTCGCGCTTTGTATAGCTCGTAACACACCTTCACAAATTCCGCCCCCACTGCCGATACCCCCCCCCCCCTCCCTTTTCCACTACCCCAATATGAGTCACTACACCAAAAGAGTGTAACGACCATAAAAACCCTTTATCACAATGTTTCACCAATATTTGACCACTAAAATATAGCAATAAAATATTCACTTCTGATTCATTGTAAATATACATTTGTTCCGTTATTTCCCGTTCCATTTTTTATTTTATCCAGCGGAAGATTTGCATACCACGTCGCTACACAGTTTGGCTGTCAGGCAGATAATGGCCAAAAGTAGTTAACGCCTGAGTTATCGCTCTTTGGTTGGCCGTCGAATGGGATGGTTTACCCTGATGACCTATTTGTGTGATACCGCTAGCCGGACTGAACTTGAACACAAGTCGACCTATTGTCGGGGCGTCTAAACGTGTTCAAGCGTGAAACATGGTTGATGGGCCGTGGCTGATTCCTCAAAGATGTGATCGTCTGTTGGAGATTTGTGGGAGCTGTTTCTTTTCAGATTTGTATAGGCTGTTTCTGTCCAATATTTGTATCATCTGTTTCTTTCTGTGCAGTGTATCTGCTGTTTCTGTTAGATTAGCATTGGCTGTTTCTATCAGACGAGCCGACCCGCTGCGTATCATACGCCGCTATTTAGTTCTTTAATTTTCTACTTTTCAGTAATTCATAATTTGTGAATTCGACAGTACCAATGCTGCCACTGAAAATATTTGCTTTAAAACACTACCCCCCCCCCCCTTACCCTAACCCCGACCCTACACCCCCGTGAAAGCAGCCTCCTCTTAGTTATTTCTTAGTTACCTCCTGTAAGTTTAAAATCGAACTAAATTATCTGCCCCTAATAGAAACCCGGCACTACGGCTCTACGATTTGTAAACATTTAGCTTTGTAAACATTTAGCGTGACCACATCTCACCAATGTGGGGGTGGGGATGGGGGTGGTAGTGATAGTGATAGAGAGAAAGAGAGGGGACTGCAAGGAGGCGCTTGCAGCTTGTTTTCTAACGGCTCCCAGAAGAGAATTATATATATAGATATTTGTGTGATCTGTTTCTGTTAGATTTGCATAGACTGTTTCTATCAGATATTTGCAATGCCTCTTTCTCTCAGAAATGTGTATGGGCTGATTCTAACATCAATTTGTATTGCCTGTTTTTCTCGTAGATTTTTAGAGTTTTAAATAAGTTTTTGATAAATAAGTTAACCGAAGTTATTCAAATGTTTATGTATTCTCTTAATACTTTGAACTCAAAAAAAAAAAAAAAAAAAAAATGTTAAAAAAATTATGTTACATTTTTTTAATTGGAAAAAGCAAACACAGTATAATAAAACAATGACGTTTTTATTCTTAAATTTGTTTATTGATCAAACTACAACTAGGAGCTATGCCGTGCGTGTTTGTAATTATTTGATTAAAAAAAAAACGTTTTTTATTTAAGCTTGACGTAATTGATCCTACCGCAACAAAAGATAGCCTGTGTTGTTTACCTTCATTAGCAGTTGCTAATTAAGGAAAAGAGACTTTGTGAATTAGGTTGATTAGGTTCTATTGCGCTTTTATCTTTCCTCATTCCAGCTGTGCTTTTAAAAAAAGATTCATCAAACACAGAAACATTTCACACAAATATGTGATAAGTTATGATGTTATAAGTTATCCGGTGAATTTTATGGTTATTGTTTGCGAAAAAGATAGGCCTTTGTCAGTAATGTATGGATTTATAAAAATATTTCATCAAACATATAAATAATTCCGTTTTTCGTGAGATTGTTTTATACGTCATTAATCAAGCCATATGTTGCAATATTCCATTAGAGTGTTGCAATATCCCATTCATGTGTTGTAATATTCCATTAGAGTTTTGCAATATTCCATTAGAGTGTTGCAGTAGTGCATTAGTGTGTTGCAATATTCCATTAGAGTTTTGCAATATTCCATTAGAGTGTTGCAATTTTCGATTGGTGCGTGTAACTATTCTAATGTAGAAAAAACAAGGAGGAAATAATGTTGGATAGCAAACAAGTCATTTAACCACCAATATGAATAGAACACATCATCATCCCACCTTCATCACCAGCACACGTCATCATCCCTCCAACATCACCATCACACGTCATCATCCCACCAACATCACCATCATACGTCATCATCCCACCAACATCATCATCATACGTCATCATCCCACAACAATCACCATCATACGTCATCATCCCACCAACATCACCATCATACGTCATCAGCCCACCAACATCACCATCATACGTCATCATCCCTCCAACATCACCATCATACGTCATCATCCCACCAGTATCACCATCATACGTCATCATCCCACCAACATCACCATCACACGTCATCATCCCACCAACATCACCAGCATACGTCATCATCCCACCAACTTCACCATCATACGTCATCATCCCACCAACATCACCATCACACGTCATCAACCCACCAACATTACCATCATACGTCATCATCCCACCAACATCACCATCACACGTCATCATCCCACCAACATCACCATCATACGTCATCAACCCACCAACATTACCATCATACGTCATCAACCCACCAACATTACCATCATACGTCATCATCCCACCAACATCACCAGTACGTCAATCACCCATCAATATAAACGTAAACAATTCCCCGTCCTTAAAATATCCGCAACAGACGGTTCATTTGCCAGCAGGACAGAGAACTCTGGAGAACTGTATTTAATATATCGTTAGGTAAAGCAAAATCGGCTGGGCATGGTGCTGACCACACTATCCCTTCACATAACAAGGTTACAGAAACAGGTGAACTCTACTTACCTTTGGAAGGGGGCGTTTATTACCTACTTTACTATTAAATATCTCGACATGAATGAGAATAATCACGTTTGAAAAGTTATAAATCAGCAACACTGGGGTTGTTGCAATACTTTATTTTTAAAAATATGCATATTTAGTTCAATTTGAACTAAAGTACATTTCAGTTCACATTTTTTGCTTTCAATTGACCTAAATGGTGTGATTAAAAACGGACAGTGCATCTATTTTTAAACACCGGAAATTCAGGTGGCGTGGACAAAATAAAATTAGCTGGTTTAGTCAGCTAATGTAGCGATGTTGCTTGTATGTTGTGTACTAGTGAGTTTGTCCTATGCTAAAGTATCGTGCGCATCTCTATGGGGTAATCAGATAGTTTGTATTATTTCTTAAATTATTTCTCTGTACGGTAGTTAGAAGTACTTTGACATGATTCGTTGCTTTGATTCATTTATTTTTCTAATATTTTTAACAATTTCCATCAATGTGTGGCAAGCACGGCTCATAAATAAATGGACAAATTTTGTTGATACAACAAGCACGGGTCTTCAATGTATGCACTGATTCAGTTTGTGTGACCCAGAAATTCATGGACCGATTCAGTTTGGCGGTTGTGGCTCATAAATTCATGGACACTTTCAGTTAATGTAGCGAGAACAGCTCATCAATTCATGAATAAAGTTCGTTAATACAGCAGGCACAGCTCATAAATTTATGGGCATATTGTGTGGCTCATAAATTCACGAACAAATTTAGTTTGTGTGACGAGCGTGGCTCATAAATTCACGAAGAAATTTGTGTGACAAGTGTGGCTCATAAATTCACTGACAAATTCAGTTTGTGTGACGAGGGTGGCTCATAAATTCACGGACAAATTTAGTTTGTTTGACGAGTGTGGCTCATAAATTCACGGACTTGCGTTACTTGGAACATTCATTAGCCGTTGGATAATTGCGTGTTCTAATTAGTCGTTTATTTAAAACAAACCGAATCGTGTTTCAGTAATTAGTTTCTAATTGTTGTTTGCTCTGTCTGTGGCGAACTTCTGGACATAAGTCTTCAGGCTATATTTAGTCGTCTGCCTTGTCCCACTGACCTGATTGGGTGCCAGAGGAGGTCGCGGTGACCTGGTGTATTCTTAGGTTGGGGAAACATTACTGTCACGTGTTTGACAAGGTGTTTTTTTTTTTTCGTTGCCATATACATTGATGGTGAGAAAATGGTACAGGATAGAGGACTATGGAGATATTTAGCATATCATAGCAGCGGTGACGGATAGTGATGATGATGATTATGTATTGATATATGGGGAAATGTGGGTATATGCTTATATGGATATATGTCAATAAGTAAAGTACCGTTTCGAACCTGGCGGTCTATGGGGTAGGAGAAGTAGTGTTTATCTGTTTCTGTGACCTCGACATATGAAGGTATAGTGTGGTCAACACTATACCCAGTTGTCATTACTTCACATGACGTCAGTCAGGTACCCATCAGAGCTGGGTAGACTCAGGGACGTTGAATGGACTCGAACCCGTGATGCATATTCGATATATATATATATATATATATATATATATATATATATATATATATATATATATATATATATATAGGCCTATATATATATATATATATATATATATATTTAGGCCTATATATATATATATATATATATATATATCTATATATATAAAGCAAAGTGGTCAAGTGCCCGATAGGGCACTTCCCGGCGCCGCAGGCGCGTCAAATTTGGCACGATGGTGCCTTATGGCGATAGAACGCGAGGGCCGGTGACGGTTGGCCGAAAAGTCTACGGCGAGGGGGTCAAAACTGACCTAGACTGACCGGCGCCTTATATGGGCTCTATTACGAAAAAAAAATTCCTCCGACGACCCCCCTTGAAATTTTGTGAGGTGGTAGGAGAACGCCTCGGGGTGTCACAAAAAACTCGCCATGTCCGGGAAAATTCGTTAAATGGGTCAAAACTGACCAGTCGTATTTCCCTATATAATCTTTGTATTTTATGGGAAAAACAGAGGGTGATTTCAAAACGGATTTGAGGGCACTTACCGTCTTTACATCTGGCTAATTTTTTGCATGCTCTTAGGTAAATGGCTTGAACTTTAGGGAAAACTGTCGGTTTCACTCAAAGCCCTCGACGAGGGCTAAAAAGTGACCGCGAGTGAAATTCTCTTTATATGAGCTCTATTACGAAAAAAAATTTCCTCCGACGACCCCCCTTGAAATTTTGTGAGGTGGTAGGAGAACGCCTTGGGGTGTCACAAAAAACTCGCCATGTCCGGGAAAATTCGTTAAATGGGTCAAAACTGACCAGTCGTATTTCCCTATATAATCTTTGTATTTTATGGGAAAAACAGAGGGTCATTTCAAAACGGATTTGAGGGCACTTACCGTCTTTACATCTGGCTAATTTTTTGCATGCTCTTAGGTAAATGGCTTGACCTTTAGGGAAAACTGTCGGTTTCACTCAAAGCCCTCGATGAGGGCTAAAAAGTGACCGCGAGTGAAATTCTCTTTATATGAGCTCTATTACGAAAAAAAATTTCCTCCGACGACCCCCCTTGAAATTTTGTGAGGTGGTAGGAGAACGCCTTGGGGTGTCACAAAAAACTCGCCATGTCCGGGAAAATTCGTTAAATGGGTCAAAACTGACCAGTCGTATTTCCCTATATAATCTTTGTATTTTATGGGAAAAACAGAGGGTCATTTCAAAACGGATTTGAGGGCACTTACCGTCTTTACATCTGGCTAATTTTTTGCATGCTCTTAGGTAAATGGCTTGACCTTTAGGGGAAACTGTCGGTTTCACTCAAAGCCCTCGATGAGGGCTAAAAAGTGACCGCGAGTGAAATTCTCTTTATATGAGCTCTATTACGAAAAAAAATTTCCTCCGACGACCCCCCTTGAAATTTTGTGAGGTGGTAGGAGAACGCCTTGGGGTGTCACAAAAAACTCGCCATGTCCGGGAAAATTCGTTAAATGGGTCAAAACTGACCAGTCGTATTTCCCTATATAATCTTTGTATTTTATGGGAAAAACAGAGGGTCATTTCAAAACGGATTTGAGGGCACTTACCGTCTTTACATCTGGCTAATTTTTTGCATGCTCTTAGGTAAATGGCTTGACCTTTAGGAGAAACTGTCGGTTTCACTCAAAGCCCTCGACGAGGGCTAAAAAGTGACCGCGAGTGAAATTCTCTTTATATGAGCTCTATTACGAAAAAAAATTTCCTCCGACGACCCCCCTTGAAATTTTGTGAGGTGGTAGGAGAACGCCTTGGGGTGTCCCAAAAAACTCGCCATGTCCGGGAAAATTCGTTAAATGGGTCAAAACTGACCAGTCGTATTTCCCTATATAATCTTTGTATTTTATGGGAAAAACAGAGGGTCATTTCAAAACGGATTTGAGGGCACTTACCGTCTTTACATCTGGCTAATTTTTTGCATGCTCTTAGGTAAATGGCTTGACCTTTAGGGGAAACTGTCGGTTTCACTCAAAGCCCTCGACGAGGGCTAACAAGTGACCGCGAGTGAAATTCTCTTTATATGAGCTCTATTACGAAAAAAAATTTCCTCCGACGACCCCCCTTGAAATTTTGTGAGGTGGTAGGAGAACGCCTTGGGGTGTCCCAAAAAACTCGCCATGTCCGGGAAAATTCGTTAAATGGGTCAAAACTGACCAGTCGTATTTCCCTATATAATCTTTGTATTTTATGGGAAAAACAGAGGGTCATTTCAAAACGGATTTGAGGGCACTTACCGTCTTTACATCTGGCTAATTTTTTGCATGCTCTTAGGTAAATGGCTTGACCTTTAGGGAAAACTGTCGGTTTCACTCAAAGCCCTCGACGAGGGCTAAAAAGTGACCGCGAGTGAAATTCTCTTTATATGAGCTCTATTACGAAAAAAAATTTCCTCCGACGACCCCCCTTGAAATTTTGTGAGGTGGTAGGAGAACGCCTTGGGGTGTCCCAAAAAACTCGCCATGTCCGGGAAAATTCTTTAAATGGGTCAAAACTGACCAGTCGTATTTCCCTATATAATCTTTGTATTTTATGGGAAAAACAGAGGGTCATTTCAAAACGGATTTGAGGGCACTTACCGTCTTTACATCTGGCTAATTTTTTGCATGCTCTTAGGTAAATGGCTTGACCTTTAGGGGAAACTGTCGGTTTCACTCAAAGCCCTCGACGAGGGCTAAAAAGTGACCGCGAGTGAAATTCTCTTTATATGAGCTCTATTACGAAAAAAAATTTCCTCCGACGACCCCCCTTGAAATTTTGTAAGGTGGTAGGAGAACGCCTTGGGGTGTCCCAAAAAACTCGCCATGTCCGGGAAAATTCGTTAAATGGGTCAAAACTGACCAGTCGTATTTCCCTATATAATCTTTGTATTTTATGGGAAAAACAGAGGGTCATTTCAAAACGGATTTGAGGGCACTTACCGTCTTTACATCTGGCTAATTTTTTGCATGCTCTTAGGTAAATGGCTTGACCTTTAGGGGAAACTGTCGGTTTCACTCAAAGCCCTCGACGAGGGCTAAAAAGTGACCGCGAGTGAAATTCTCTTTATATG